TAAAAAAAATTCCCATCCACTTTCCAGTATTTGGGTGTAACATACTGATTGAGAAAGCGCTCTCCCCTGAAGTATATCAAGGTAATTTTTCAGAAATAAAACCTTAGAATACTTGGGTCATTGAGTCTCTTTTGAGATGTTAGTTTCCCGGGTTCCTGTTTGTTGGTTAGCTGAGAGTAGAACATCAAGGTAACAATAGCTTCTTTTGTTTCAGGAGAATGATCCATCCGTGAGACTGAAAATTGCATCATTATTGGGTTTATTGTCAAAGACTGCAGGATTTTCACCAGATTGTATTATGGATGATGCTATTAACATCCTGCAGAATGAAAGTAAGTTGTAATTTAAAAGCTATGTAACCAGGACAGAAATCTTGAGTTCCTTTTGCATAGAATTTAAAATTTTGAGTGTTGATATTGAAAAGGAATTTGAGGATGAATCAATAAAGCTCTGTACATATATTTACATTAGAGTTAAAATATGGTTTTGTCTCTTAATAGCTATCATTTATTGATCTCTACTAAGTAGCATATACTTACGGTAGTTTACATATGCTATAAGATAAAGATAGCTGTTGATGTAGGTGGGGAAACTGAAGTTCAGAGACATTAACCTGTTGAAGATTAAATAGTATGTGACAGAGGTGATATTTTATTGACTGTGTGTACTAACTCAGAAACCATGAAAGGTGCTGTCCTGGTCACGTGGTCCCTCACAATTTAGTTCCTGTAACAGTGACATCTCCCAGGTCTCACATGTTGTTACTTTTTCTATTTGTTCCTTGTTGATGTCCACTAACATTAGTTTTCAGTGTTTAGGTGAGACGGAAAACTACTTCACTTTTTTAGTTTTTTAAAATTATTTATCTAGTTTTATTTATGTACAGGATTCTGTTATAGAGTTATGCCTCAACTGCCTTAATATTTATTTCAAAATTAAATAAAAAGAAACACTTTGTTGCTGTTTCTGAAAATATTATAATTTATTTGAATTAGTTGTGCTTTCATCGAATAGTTTTATTTCATTTTGGTTTATACATATATAAACAAATGTGACTATTTAAATATTGGACAACATTTATTCTTTAAACTTAAAAGGCTAGGAAAGTAATAAAGGACCAGTCAACTCAGACACTCTAAATATATTTATTGTACAACTGTTTAAGGATAATAAATATCTTACAGATGTGGCCCATTGGCTGAAGCTGAGAATTTAAAAAAATTTTTGTTAGAAACAACTTCATATTAAAATTGTACTTGTATTGAATTTCAACCCAAGACTTTTAATTCACAGGAAACAATGAAAGTATCTTCTAAAATTTTTTTTGAGAGAGGAATCTGTTTTTTTATAATGCCAATATAACCACATTAAAGAAAAAGAATTTCTTACTATTTCCATAAAACAATGTTTTACATATTACCTATTACTTATACACATTTTATGTGGTTTTACTTATAGAGTGTACTATTTTCTATTCTCACTTAACATTGCATACAATTTTTTTCATGTTTCTACATTACCTTCATAATATGTATAGTGTTGATAATGTATTAAATGTCAATTTTTTGCTTTTGTAGATAGTGGCAAAAAAAAAATCCATTTCTTTTAAAAGCACCAAGACAATTATATTGCTTAAGTATTGAAGTATCTTTTTTCCCATGGAAAGTTCTTAGAGTAACTAGCTATATACATGGAACTATTTCATATTTTAAGATTGATAATTTCATAGTGCCATAGACATTTTTAGTTATAAATGGCGTTATAGAGATCATCTTGTTTAAATCCTTCATTTTGCAGATGACAGAAACCAAGTCCCAGAGAGATGAAGTGAGTTTAGCTAAGTAACAGCAGAACTGAGAACTTAGTGTGCTGCTCTTTCTTATAGACTGTGGTTTAACTGAAACACTTTATCTCCAAAATAGAAACATTATGAGAGAGTTAATTTTGCTGCATTTATCATCCTACCCTTTAAAAGAAAGAGACTCAAATTATGCAGTATACATAGAAATAGTATTTTATTTTTTGTTTAGCGTTCTAATTCTGTCTCTTAATTGTCTCTAAGAGATTTGATCTAGGTCTCTTCCCAATTTCCAGCTCCTGACCTACACAGATTCATAGAAGATAGAACTGGAAGGGACCATAGAGATCATCTAGTTCAAGCCTTTTATTTCATAGCTGAGGAAAATAACCTTCAGAGAGATAAAGTGACTCCTAAAGTGACTCTGTAGTATTTGTGGCTTAGAATTAAGTCACAGACTTATAATTAAAAGTCTCATTGTTGTCAGTTTAGTGTGCACTTGGAAAGAGGATGGTCCATGCTGTGAAACAGAAAATCTTTCAGTTCAGTTCATCAGATGTATGAGTTCTGTAACTCACAGGCAAGCACTTTGAGGGTGTTGTGTATATCTGTCTGCCTCTCTAGTACATTTTGCACAACTAATGAGAACACAAAGCTTGTTTTGGAGGAGGTATAATCGGAATACTGTGGGAGCAGAGGACAGAGAAAGATCAGTGCTGACTGGTGGAATCTAGACAGGCTTAGTGAAGAGGTGGATTTGGAAAGTCAGAGATGGGGAAGAGTGCCAAGAAGGATAAACCTAGAGAACTTGGAAAGTAGAAGACATATTTGAAGAACTGAATTGTTTTATGAGAAATCAGCAGGGAGTAAGGAGCTTTAGGAAGAAAATCAATGATAAAATGGTTTGAAGCCAAAGGAATGATAGGTAAGGGGGAGCCACGTAAAATTTTTTTGAGCACGGGCATGAAATGATGAAGTCTACTTTTAGAAAGATAATTTGGTATCTCTGAGGAATTTGGTTTGCTGAACTAGCTGGTATAGAGATTTTGAGGATTCATTTATTACCCATGTGGAGATGTCCATCCAACCTGCAGTTGTAAGGTAGGTCAGGACATCAGGAGAGAGACTAGGACTTAAGGTTTAGTTTAGATTTGCGATTTACCAGAGGCAAGAGTTAATCTTCAAAAGGTTTCACTAGCTTTCCATGGATGTTATGCGGAATCATTTTTGAAGAACAAAATTATAGGTTGGTGTGGTGGTGGTGGAGATTTTTTCACCTCTCTTCTATTTCCTCTCAGCACCTTCTTTTCTCTTTGTGGCCTCTTCACATTAGAGACTTTTCTTGAGCCTTGGCCTTGTATTTAAATTTAAGATGAGTTACTAAACATCCTTCCCTAGGGCCATGATTTTTGCAGTAGTTGCCACTTTATTTCAGGGCCTGCTTGTTTTGATTGGTGTTTAAATATTGCTTAATGCAGATAATAAAACTGAGCTAATGAAAAAAAAAAAGAGGCACTAAAAAGCTGATTGGTAGTTCTGTGTGAATGGATGGGACATGTCAACTGGTAGCCTCCACTCTAGGAGGATGCTCTGTGCCTTTGGAGAACTTTTCAATGTCTTTTGGTGTTTTTCCATGGAGTCATCAGTTTTTCCAGTTTTAAGTTCATGACTCACCTGCTAGGAAGTCAGAGAAATGAAAGGCTACTATGATGTATTTGGAGTCAAAGTAGCTGAAGGCAGAGGCTAGGGAGAAGGAGGGAGTGTCTGATTATCAGAACCTTGATTATCTTCTCATCTCTTTTTTTTAATGTCTCTTCCCTGTCCTCACTGGTACTCCTCAAATTGTACCCTTTCTGGACCATTTTCTATATAGAATAAACCTCCTATTTCAGTGGTCACTTGGCTGTGTCGAATAGGGAAGGAGGCAGGGGTCCAACTGCTCATTATAGAGGCCTCAAACAAACCCCTGTCTTATCCATGTGTTTTGGGTTTTTAATTTTTACAAAATTCTTCCAATCCCTGAATCTTTCTGAGATGTTATGGCTAGAATTTTCTTGCTTTGTAGTGACATCCTTCTCAGCAGTCATTTAGCATTACATTTCTCAGTTCTACCAGAATTTTTCAATCTGCTTTCCACCTTTGAAACATTTATTGACTTTTTCTCATCCGCCTATATTTATTCTCCTGTTTTTTTTGTGCTTGAGGGTTCCTACCTTTTTAATTTTTTTACTCTTATGTTAATGAGGTTTTAGAAAAGATAATGATAAACAGATGTGTGCAATCTACTATGTTCAACTGGAAGTCTTACCTTTAAGAGGTGATTTGACTAGTGTTTTCTGAGCTTTAGTCATTTATATATCATACATCATTTTTGACACATTTGTTTCAACATCTATACTATGGTTTACTTAATGTTTTTCTTAATTGGACAATTTTTTATAGTTAAATAAAACTAGAGAGGCTCTTATATTAGTAATGTTAAAAGGAAATGAGTGTTATGTGACATCAGTAGGTAGTAACTGTAATTTTTATTATGTACATGAAAGTATATTCATGGTTAATAATATAAAAATGATTATCTGAATGCCACCTAAAATCTTCTTGTATACCACCAGCATTATAAGAAACACATTTTGAAACAAAGAAGAGAATTTAGACAAAGAAGAGAATCTGGTTAAGATGATTGATATTGATTTATTTGGATTTGGCTGTTTGCCCATGTATTAAACATTCATTGAGCATATAATGATTGTAGTAGAGTCTAAGAATACACAGGTGAATAAAACATAGTCTTTGCTCTCAAGGATCTTTCATTTTCCTACTTTAGCCTGATACAAAAATGTATACGTGTAGTAAAGCGTTGTAGCTGTTGTAGAGATTGCAGTAGAAGCAAAAGGAGGAANTAGGTAACTAACTGCTTATCTCTTTCTGCTTTTAAGACTCTCTCTTTGTCTTTAACCTTTGGCATTTTAATTATGATGTGTTTGGTGTGGGCCTCTTTGGGTTCATCTTGTTTGGGACTCTTCGTGCTTCCTGGGCTTGTATATCTATTTCCTTTGCCAGGCTAGGGAAGTTTTCCATCATTATTTCTTCAAATAGGTTTTTAATTCCTTGCTTTCTCTCTTCTCCTTCTAGTAGCCAAATGATGCAAATGTTGGAACCCTTGATGTTGTCCCATAGACCCCTTAAACTCTCCTCATTTTTTTTATTCTCTTTTTTTTTTTTGCTGCTCTGATTGGGTGTTTTCTGCTACCTTATCTTGTAAATCGCTGATTTGATCCTGGCTATTTTGAAAGCCCTTTCTCTTTGTATTACACCCCACAGCTTAAAGTTATGTTTCCAATGACTTTCCCAAGTTTATATATACATGATAAGTAGTCTGTCAGGATTCTAGGTCTTCTGACTCCGTATCTATTGCTCCTTCCCCCACTTGAGGCCTCGTTGTTGTGCTCAGTTACCTTCTTAGAAACTTAGGGTCTTGTATTACATACTAGAGAAATGGTGATGAACAAAAGGACATGGTCTTTTTCGTCT